CACGACAAGTATGGCCGCCTAGACAAGGACAGCATTGTTTTTGTCTAACTATTGTCTAACTTCACAGTTTAGAATTGACAGATTTCAGTTTCAGAGACAACTTCAGATTTGTTCTAGAACAAATTCGAAAATATTCGACGCCATTTTAATTCATTCCGTTTATTTTCGTTTTGGAAGTTCAATTTAAAATTTCGGCTGAAATTTATAAATATATAGGTAATAGAGTATATAAAATATATATTACATGAAGAATCCTGGAGAAAATTACGTTTCTGCAGTAGTAGGTATGTCCCATGTATATGAAAAATAGGTAGTAAATAAACACTGTTTTTACATTTTTTAGATGCAAGAAAAGGGTGTTATAATCTCTTTGATCGGCGATTTTTTTGAAAATGGAAACAATTTACAGCAAGGTAAGATCATTTTTAACTATAGCCAACATTAGTTATCTCCAGTATGTGCGATTTATTGTCAATAATGCAATAAATCGGACTGATAATCTAATTATGTTATCCGACTAAAAGTCTCTTTTTGCTTCTTTTTGATTTATGACCCAGGTCTCTTTGGGAATAATGGACGCTTTTTTAAACAGTATATTTATATTTTATACCTATTGATATTTTTACATTGTTAATTTTAGTATAAAAAAAATTTGTTTTTCTGTTTTCAGGTTTTTGTATAAGGCTCCCGTTTTCATGTTCCTGTGTCCGTTTTCTGTCCTTGAAGTCTGCGAATATGTGTGTTTATTTACAAATTAATGTAAGTCATGCTTATACCTTAACTAATTTACGTTAAAAGTACATGTAATTAACTAATTGGTATTGAAACAATAAAATCCTCTATATTTTTATATTTATTTAGTCACGTTGTTCCATATTTCAAATAAATATATGTGAATATATTATTTTTTGGTTTTATTTATGAAAAGAAAAAATACAAAATACATTTGAACTGAAAGAGGGCCCACCATTGAATAACCGGAAACGGAAATGAAAATTAAGCCATCATGTCCTTATCATGTCAACCTGTCAATTGGAAAATTAGTTCTCCAGACGACAACGAAGGCCGGCATATATATATATATATATATATATATATATATACCTGTCAATTGGAAAATTAGTTCTCCAGACGACAACGAAGGCCGGCATATATATATATATATATATATATATATATATATATTCGGTGGCGTATCGTGTTTCCACGATTTAACACAGAGTTGACACTTCTTTCTAGTTAATTATTTTATGTGTAAACCCAAGGAATATTAATAACGTCGACCTAGACATATATTTTATAATAAACATGATTAATTAAAAAATTGCAGTCTGGAGGACGCGAGGTGAATTCAAGGCGAAGTTCGTCGCGGGCATCGGTAATGGAAACATGCAGTAAACTGTTTGACTATGTAATTTCCGATGGCCGTTAATGACGAAGGTGGATATGAAAAGATGTATGCAGAAGAGTCCGTATTTCAGAAACTAAGAGGGATACAATTTTCATAAAAAGTAGATCAGTGATGTGAAAACCGCATCTTCTTGGCTCTAACCTGAACCCTGTAAAACACATGAAAATGGAATATCCTGTACATGATCTACTTAAAAAAAAAACAGGATAAAAACATCCTACATTTTCTGGAAAATACATCAATTCGACAACATCGCCTGCTAAGTTTAAATACTCGTCGAACAGAAAACAGTATCCGGTTCAGTCGCAGAATTAAACCGAATTAAAGAGGTACGTTTTATCTTTGTCCCATGGTTTATCTCTCTACCTCACTCTCTCTTCTCCTCTTCATCTTCGTCTTCTTCGTTTTTTGCGCAAATAGGCGAACGGTAAAAGGTTTTATTTGGAGGGGCTTTGTAGAGAGTCGATTGATTGCGATTTTAGAGTAGAATGGCACCGGTCTGGATTTTTTTACGAGCGGACATTTATTCAATCATTCAATTTGGAAGATTCGGGTTAGGGATTGAAGGGGGATAAAATGGGAAAAATACCGAGAAAATTGTTTGTATGTACAGGGTGTCTCGTTTTGGCGTGTTTTACAGGGTTTCTTGTTAACGAGTAGATGTTTTCACATTACGAGCTACTTTTTTATGAACCTAAAGATGCTACATACAGATTTGTCCTAACCGTCATAGTTCGTGAAATACAGGGCACATTTAGTACATGTAGAATTTTTTGACTCCCCTCGTATCTCGGTTATATTATAATTTATCGAAAAGGTGAAAACTGAGTCGGTAGAATTCAGTGGCGTTACAAGTTTTGCTGGGAGCTGATATGATCCAAACTTAGGTTTTTATTCTTCTATTTATTTATAAATTAATATTAATGGGATACCCGGTATATTATTTTTTACTAGATATTGAAACTTAACTATAATTTACTTGATTAGAGAAACTAGCCAAGATACAGTACATCTGCTGGATCTGTGTCTATGAAAGGAAGGCGGACAAAAAACATTTAAATAAACAGCAATATATTTTATACGTGCGTCGACTTGACGAGTACGTCACCGCAAATCGCTCCGCCCTCTCATTTTATTGGCTATTTGCAAATTTGTCGAATTTTTATTGATAGGACGCGTCGTCTAATTTTTTACGAAAAACATCGAGAGAATATCGTTTCCCCTCTCACGGATACCCCGTAGCTACAGAACAGACAGACGTACTGTACAGGTTTTCTTCACAGGCATCTGTTAAACTTCTAATAACGCACTTTTTCTCATTCAACCGAATTCGTATCTCTTGTAGTTTCCGAATTACCAATGTTGAGCATCGAAATTGTGATATCGAATAATTGTATAGAACTTACTAGACAATATGGATTAAATAAATAAATATAAATAAATAAATGCCTTTATTGTCAAAAAATTTTTCAATTTGTGGACAAAGGTAAACTAACAAACAAAGTAAAAAAAAACAAGGTACACAAACAAACAAACAAAAGATAATACAAAACATTATACAAATAATATTGTCAGTCTTATTGTTAAAATAAACATATATAAATGTTTACAATGTCAAAGAACAAAAAAAATAAAAATAATATTCAAAAATATTTAGCCAGTTTATAGCAAAATATCAATGACCTCTAAATAAATTAATTTCGATGTCATTAGTAAATATAGCAATAGCAAACATTAGACCAGTGTTTTCAAGATCAAATTCGATTTTCAATTCAAATATAATTCATTTACGGCGTAGAAAGCCTTGTCTAGTAAATAAGAGTTCAATGCTTTGCGTAATGAAAAAAATGATGTTATGGATTTGATTTCAAATGGCAGGTGATTGTGCATTTTTTCCGAGTTGTATAATATTGAACTTCTAACTAACTCTGAGCGTGGGGTAGGTAGATAAAGATCTTGCTCCGCGTTCCTGAGTGGATAAGTGTGAGATGGCCTTTCTTGAGAAGCTGATACATGTTTACGTATTAGGCAAACGGATTCAAATATAAGTAAGGAAGGAAGAGTCAATATTTTAATTCTCTAAAAAAGCCCCGGCAATGAGTTCTGCTGTTTAGTCCCAGTGAATATCGAACAGCTCTCTTCTGGAGCTTGAAAATGCGGTCAAATCTGAGCCGCACAACACGTACCCCAGAATGGAAGGGCATACCTGAGGTGCGACTCAAAAAGTGCATAATAAACAGTTCTAGCCACTGACAAGTTAAGCTCCTTAGAAACAGACCTTAATGCAAAACAGACAGAGCTCAATTTTTTCGACAAAGCTTCGATATGTATGTCCCATTTCAGAGAATTGTCCACAACACGCCCTAAGAATTTTACGGATTTTACGACGTCAATGGTGGTGTTGTCAAGTACAAAAGGCTGCAACGAGTTTTTATACGACAAAGCCTTAGTTTTAGAAATGTTGAGACTCAGGAGGTTCGAACCGCACCAAGATTTAATGGTGATTAAGTCATTTGATATAATCCTATGAAGTGCCAAGCGATGTCCTTGTTGCTCCAAGTGAAGCTAGTGTCGTCCGCAAAAAAGACATATTTTGCCACTGATGTTTATGTTAGAAATGTCGTTAATAAAAAGAAGAAACAAAATAGGGCCTAGTACTGAGCCTTGTGGTACTCCACATTCTATTGGCTTGCTAGAAGACAACGTGGTATCCACCCTCACAAGTTGACTTCTGTTGCTCAGATACGACTTAAACCATTCGAGAGATGATCCCCTAAACCCATAGTGCTGCAGTTTATTAATTATGATCTTATGATTTACACAATCGAACGCCTTAGAAAAATCACAGAAAATTGTTGCTGTAGAATGATGGTTGTTTAGGCTGGAGTAAACTTTATTAAGGAGGGAAAACATAGCGTCATTTGTGGACTTGTTGCTTAGAAATCCAAATTGATATTCAGTAAGTATTTTGTACTTAAACAGAAAAAGATACCAGCCTGTTTCTTTTAACCAACCTTTTTTTTTTATGATCTTAGATAGTGTTGGAAGGAGTGCATTGGGCGATAGTTAGAAGCTTCATCTTGTCTCCTCCCTTTGTGCAGTGGAATGATTATTGCCGTCTTAAGACATTTTGGAAAAATACCATTTTGGAACGACATGTTTATTAAAGTTGTTAGGTGATTCAGAGCGCTTTCTGGCAGATTCGAAAACACACAATTTTAATATTATATATATATATATATATATATATATATATATATATATATATATATATATATATATATATATATATATATATATATATATATATATATATATATATATATATATGCTATATATATATATATATATATATATATATATATATATATATATATATATATATATATATATATATATATACATATATATATATTATATATATATATATATATATATATATATATATATATATATATATATATATATATATATATATATATATATATATATATATATATATATATATATATATATATATATATATATATATATATATATATATATATATATATATATATATATAATTAAATATAAGTAAATATTTTACCTCTGTGCCTTGTACTTTCAATTTCATATGATCTTCTCTGGTGGTCTTCCCATCCTTTCTTTTCTTCCAACAGTACCCGTCTCTGCGATATCGTACCTTTTTCCTGCTGTATAATAGCATCGATCCACTTTTTGGTCTGAAAATAAAAGAAGAAAACAAAAAATTACAATAAGTATAAATTAAAAAATGTTCTAAAGCTTTCTATGATATTGGCATGCTTAAAATTAAATATTGGCTTGAATAATTAACTAAATTGAACAAGGAAGAAAATTAAAAACAAGGAACTGTGAACCATATATTTCTAAATTATGTTACTGAATTATGACCTAAATAATAATGCCACCTGGATTTTGATACATTAAATCTTCTATTATTACAGGGTCGACCGTAACGCAAGCAGTTAGTGTGTCGATCTGCGGTGCGAGAGATGTGATGGTACTGGGTTCGATCCTCAGCCAGTACGGTCGCTAAATAGATATTTAAATAAAAATATCGATTTATCTAAATAGAGCGACCAGCGAGCAGCCACCTCAAGGAAGGCAATGGCAACCACCTTGAGTATATTTGCCTTGTACAGCCTCTCAAATAGTGCCGTTCGGATTCGGCTTTGAATAAGAAGACTAAGGAAGGAGCATATCAAAAATCTTAGGTACACCGCGATGGGCCTCAAATATGGCCGACTTAAATTCCGGTTTATCAGTGTCGTTCTAATTTTATTTAAAAAATGTAAAACTATGATGTAGGGTAGACGTGGGGTAGACTCAATAATTTGTTGTTTTATTTTACGTTGTGAATAAATGTTGGTAGTTATTAAAGTTGTTATAAAAATATATAATTCTAATAAAAATAGATAAGTTATAATAAGTATTTATTACCACAAACGTCCGATACGCTACTGAAGCAGGTAAGTCAAATTAACGTATCTAAATTCTTTGACATCTAATCTTTGACAAGTAATAAATAAAAGCTAAAAATGCAAGAAAAATATATAATTTAGTTAATTTAAGCGAATTTCATAAATGATCGGTTTACTACACGTATGTATATTATATAGTCACTTACTAGCGAAAAGTTGTTCCATTATTTCACTCAATTTTTGCCGAGATCTACCGCACGCTACACAACCAACTATTTTAGAATCTTTTTCGATAAATCGCGATAGTGTCACTGTTAATTTAAGTTCTGCCACAATTTCCATCCTGATTTATTACCTTTATACAACTCTCAGTAGTAGAATAAATAATAAATAACATAAAATAAGCTCCGTAAAGACTGACAAATCCACAAAATTTCAAATCAAATTCAAATGTGTCAAATGAATCGTCAAACAGAACTGTCAAGGATCCCCACCCTAGAGAGCTTTTATGGTGGCTTTTCCGCCCACCATGCATGAATACATGAATAGCATTATGCTCCTCCCTTAATCTTCTTCTTCTTCTTCTTTTTTTTTTATGATGGCTCTGCTACAAGGCAACCGCCAGCTCAATTTGGGAGTGACCAAGATGTTGACTGGCTCTAAACCATATCAAGGCCACTGATTCTTATCTGAGTAAAATGTATAATGGGTAAATTTTAATATAACTAACTTCTATGAAGGTAACCTGTGACCTGTGACTGTAAAATGTTATTATTATTATTTATTAAATATATAAATGACGTGTTGAAAGGAAGATTATATCACACACAAAAGGCACATAGGATAGAGGTCACACAAACAGACTGCATTCGGAAACTGAAACAAAAGAAAATAAAAATAGAAAGTTGAGCATTATAATTTAATTCTATTAGTGTTTAAAAATATCATAATAGTTTCTATTAATTTTCACTTGGCTTAGACAAAACTGTAAATATTGATAGTGGAGTAGGAAAATTCATTTCAATAAATTTTTGATATAAATCCAAATTAAACAAAAAAATTTATAGGACATTCTAAAAAGATATGATTTAGGTCTTCAACAGAGCCACACTCACAGAATGGATCTTCCTTCACTTTAATTTTATATAAATGGTTTTTGTTAAGCAATGGCCTGTACGCTTTCTAATTAACGTTGTAATATGTCTTCTATCTATATACTGGAAATTTTAAACCATTGTTTATCTGGGAAGATTGTTTGTATATTAAAATACACATGCTTTTTTTCGCTTCATACAAGATTTCCAATTTTCCTTATAATTACACAAAATATCAGTTTTAATTGAATTAAAAATATCTATTGAATCCATCTCCATAGATTTCGGAATATTTAAATCTTTTCCAATATTAGCCAACAAATCTGCCTCTGTATTTCCCAAGATATTGGAATGACCTGGAATCAGGCAATCCTGATGTCAAAACCATTAGAATTTGCTAAACAAATTAAACGTTTGGTTCTTAAGGTCAATAATCAGCAGATGCTTTAAAGAGATTTTTACTAATTTTTGAATTGAACTTTGGAATCTGAAAAAGATAATAACACTACGCAAGTTCTTTTAATAGCAAACTTTACTGCATCATGAATAGCTATGGTTTCTGCCTTACAAATACTTAAAAAAGAATCAGGTAGTCGCGAAGAAAATTTAAAATTTATATATGGAATATATATTCCAAATCCTGTTCTTTTATCTTTTTAGATGCATCTGTAAAATAAAAATATGAGAATTTTAAAACGTTCAGATACTGACAAAAATTGTTCCTTAATAGAAAAATCATGTTTATTAATTTGACAATCAACTAATTTAATAGAATCATTCAAAATATTAAAACTAACTTCATAACACGGAAAATTTTGACTAACATAAAGATTATCAATATAAGGCAGAAAATCATGTAAAGCTGAGACCACATAAGGTACATTATTACTATTAATATAAATTGGATTAACAGTTTTTCTAATATTGTAAATTAAATTTATTAATGGATTATTTTGTAAAGTTAACAATTTAGACAGAAATTTGCCTACAAGTATTTTTTCTTCTACATTCTAAATCAATCATAGAAGATTCTCCCAACAACGCTAATCTAGGAGTAGATTTCATACAACCTAGACAAATACGTAAACCCTCAAAAAATACTACATCTAGTTTATTTAAATTTTTTTGACTAGTTGGTTTAATAAAAATTGTTGCAAATTCCAAATGAGATCTCACCAGAGCAGAAAAAATAATTAAAAGGGTACAAGGATCAGCTCCCCACCACACTCTACAAACAGCCCTTAAAACATTTAAGGCTTTTTTAGCCTTATTAGTAATATTTTCAATATGCAAATCCCACTTTAAATGTTTTTGAAAAATAACGCCCAAATACTTCACATTATGTTTATATGGAATAATGTGATTTCCAAGTTGAATCAATGGTGGCTGATCTCTCCGTTTGCCCTTAGTGAACCATACTGCCTCACATTTTTCCAAAGATAAAGAAAGATCTCTATTAATAAGAAAATCATTTACAAGCTCCAAAGCATTATTAATTTTTTCAGACATCTCAAGTATATTTGAACCCTTAACAAAAATTACCAAATCGTCCGCATAACCAATAATCTTTACATTTAAATAATTTTTAAAAAGTTCTGAAATATAAATATTAAAAAGAATAGTACTTAATGGAGAACCTTGCGGAATACCTTTAGTTGCTAAAACCGGACCTAAGAAGGAACCATCAGATTTTCTGGAAAATAACAATCTATTTTTCAAAAGTATAAAAATTAAATTAGATAATTCTACTGGAATTTGTAAATTAATAAGCAAATTATAGAGTTTGTATATGTTAACATTATCATATGCAGATTTTATATCTAAGAAAACAGCAATAACTGAATTTGACGAATTAAAGGCATCAAAAATAAAAGTAGATAAATAAGCAATATTATCATATATTCCCCTACCCTTACGAAAACCTACCTGTTCATTTGTAAACACAATTTTATTCTCCAAAAACCAATCTAAACGATTTTTAATCATAATTTCTAAAATTTTGCCACCACATGAAGATAATACAATAGGTCTATAACTCTCTGGCAAAGTAGGATTTTTGTTTTGTTTTAAGATATTAATAATATTATATTTCTTCCACGAATCCGGTAACACACCTTCAAATAAACATTTGTTATATATTTTAAGAAGATAATTTTTAGCAATCAATGGTAAATTTTTATACATGGAATAAGAAATATCATCCATGCCAGGTGCAGAAAATTTTTTATCCTGAACAGCATAGTTAAATTCCTGACTAGTGAATGGAGGAATGTTACTATTTATATATGTTGGCGACAGTGTAAAATTCGGATCTATGTATATACTAGACATATTATATAAAATTTGTTGTTTTAAATCATCTGAAATGTTATAACTATTAGAATTGCTGTTATTATTAGAAAATTTTTTAATTTTTTCCCAAACGTATGAAATGCTAGATTCCCTATTTAATGTTTCACAAAAAGATTGAAATTTTTGTTTTTTCTTTGATCTTAATTTTTTTCTCGTAACTGCAATACATCTTTTAGCATTGATAAAATTAGTCAAAGTTGGAACATTATTGAAAACATTAATTGCTCTTTTTCTGTCTTGAACCCACTGAAAACATTCTTCATCCCACCATGGGTTTCCAATTTTATGATAAGAACCACATTTTTTCAAAGGAATGGCATCATCAGCAGCTCTATTCATAATAAAAGACAAATCATTATAATCTAAAATAGTACTATCTTTCTCGATTAACTGCACAGCTATTTTATGTTGATAAAGATGCCAATCAGCTTTACTACAATTTCGTACACAATAACTATTTACAAAAGCTTTTTTTAAATATAAATTGTTTGATAAATTTAATTGTAAAATTGTAGGATAATGATCGCTATTTCCACAATCACTAATAACTTTCCAGTTAGAATTTATAGCTAATGCGCTACTGACAATTGTTAAATCAACTGCACTCAAACTGGAATTCGGATTTTGCACAAGAGTTCTAGAACCATCATTTAAAATCACCATATCATTTTCTATAATAAAATTTACAAGCCTTATTCCGCCCCTATTAATAGGAGATTCATCCCATAATGGATGATGGGAATTAAAATCTCCCATAATAATAATTTTATTTAAATCTAAACCATCTAAAAGTTGTTTAAACAGATCTTCCGAAACATTTTTATCTGAATTAAT